CTTCAATCTTCTGTAATCTTCTTTTATCAGCTTCCATCTTCTTTATCTTCTTCACCCTTCGTTGATTGGCTTCACCCTACTTCAATCTTCTTGGATCGGCTTCAATCTTCTGTAATCTTCTTTTATCAGCTTCCATCTTCTTTAGTATTCTTCAATCTTCTTCAATCGGCTTCCATCTTCTTTAGTATTCGTCAATCAGCTTCAATCTTCTGTAATCTTCTTTGATACCTTCAATCTTCTTTAGTATTCTTCAATCGGCTTCAATCTCCTTGAGTATTCATCAATCGGCTTCAATATTCTTCTTTAGTATTCTTCAATTGGATTAAATCTGCTTCTTTTGTATTCTTCAATCGACTTCAATCATCTTCAATCATCTTCAATCATCTTTGATATCCTTGATCCCCTTTGATCTTCTTTAGTATTCTCCAATTGCCTTCAATCTTCTTTTCAACATTTGTGTGAGTCAAATGAATCAATACACTTTCTTCAAGCTTGCTCAATCCCGTGTTTTATTTTCCCAATGGTTCAAAACTTTCCGGTCTATGCAGGAAGTGGTGCTACCACTGAATGTGCTTATTTCTTTGAAGAAGTACTTGATGTTACACAATACCGCAAGTATACCAGCAATCACAACTTTGAACTCCGGGGTTCTGAAAGTCCTTTTGTCAATGATGTAATGCAAGCTCTCAGTCATTGGTCTCATAAACACTATAACGTAAGAAGAATGGTTGCGGATCTTCAGGGGGTGGGTTTGGTATTGACAGACCCTTTGATTGTGGATCCAAGCAAGTAAGTAGATTGGTGCTTGTATGCAAAATGTTTTCCTGACTGTTTGTTTCACCCATAACCCAGTATGGCTTGGTGCGATGGAAACACTGGAAGGAAAGGCTTGGAGAATTTCTATACCCAGCGCAAATGCAATAGGATATGCAAGCACTTTGGGTTGCTCCGCCCCAAAAAAGCACAATTAAGTATATGGGAGGAGATGGAGCTGTTGTATGGAGGTAAATCTGGGGACCAAACTCATATTCCAGCAAGAGATCAGCACATGGTGTAAAATGAGGAGTAAATTCTTTCATTTCAACTTGTATTCCAAAATTTGTTGCTCTTAAAAATTCCAAAAAATTACAAAAATACTTTGCCCACAAAATTATCATCTTAAACACATGGGGCATCAGTCTCTTCTGCCAGTTTCTTGCTGGAATCATACACAAATAGAGATAAAGAACAATTCCTTTCATCATGAACGTCCACCACCCAAGGACGTTCATCTTGGCGGGCTTCATCCTTGTCTAGTTTGGCTGGATCCTCGCTGGTAGCTGAATTTTTGGCATAGGTTGCGGGTGTTAAAACATGGAACATATTAAGTTTCTGGAAAGATCCTCATGTGAAAAGGTGAAGGTAAACAAACCAATGACTGTTCTGCTTTGATATTGTCCAGCACGCTCAGATGATCTGTGACCAAATGCTCTCATAGTACCTTGCGGCTCGTTGGGCGGTACCATCTTGACTGCATGATTTTGCTTGATTACACGCAGGGCTTCAGAGTGTTGCTGCATGATCTTGATAGCCCTTCAAAAGTCTTTCCAAAGTTTCACTTCTGCAGGGTCATTGCTGGCGGGGTCCTGCAGCAGGAATTGTCAGCCATGTGAATACAACATAAAGCTTGAGGGACTTGACCACTTTGTTGAACCTAGCAACACATATAAGCTTATTTCCAGCCAAATTCACAAGTAGAACAGTTCCATAGGTAACTACTTGCTCTTTCCTGTTCCCAAATTGAGGAACTTGGAAAACATCACAGTCCTCTGGCAAGCCAAACCGGTCTTTGATTCCTGCTTTAATTCTTTGACTGACACATTCTCTTTGAACATCCTGGACTGGATCCTGTTTGGCATTGTGTTGTTGAGCCTTCTTCCTCTTTTGGCACTCCGCAAGCTTTTGCTTTCTGAGGTCTGATACTGGTTTTGGCATCTACGTAAAAAAACATTGTTTTGATTAGTGGAATGCTCATCAAAAAATCAAGATTTCTTAATTTGTGTGGGGATGCAATGAAATAATGAATAAAGTGAATAAACAATGAGTGATTAAATATTTGATGGATTGAATGATTGAGTATGAATGACATGAATATATAAATTTATGAATAATTGTTTGAAGAAATGATTGATAAAGTAATTTCTTGAGGATTGAAATCAGGAAGCACCAAGATACATTTAGCAAAGGGTTAGGCTGGTAGTTGGGGGTCCCCTCGGTCACTTGCCCTGCCCTTCACAAGACATAAACATCTCTGCATGTATCTCAAGTACTTCCGTCTTCCATGAGTCAATGTGAATAACCTTGAGCTGTATATCTTTTGAAATAAGTGAATTTGCATTAATGAATAATTGTTTGAAGGAATGATTGATAAAGTAATTTCTTGAGGATTCAAATCAGGAAGCTCTGAGATACATTTAGCAAAGGGTTAGGCTGGTAGTTGGGGGTCCCCTCAGTCACTTGCCCTGCCCTTCACGAGACATAAACATCTCTGCATGTATTGCAAGTACTTCCGTCTTCAATAATTGTTTGTGAGTAAATCATGAGTGGTAAATGTTTTGAATTATATGAGTCTTCTTTTGCGATGAATGGAACAGATGTTTGAGAAATATTGATTGATTTATTAATCTACATTCAATTATTATCGGCTTCTTGTGGATTCTTCAAGGTTCTATTTCTTCTTGAGGATATAATATTTCTTCTTATATGTTCTGTATTGATCTTGGTGAAGTCAGGAACAAATGGGAAGACAAAGGAAGAACATGGATTACCTTGGTTGATTCAACAAATTGAAGAAAGCGGACAGAACAGATTTCAAGAATAATAAGATCAGAAGAATCAAATAACAAAGGACTGGTTAAATGCTTCCACTCAAATGGTGGCTGAGTTGTGGTCAGCCATTACACAATGTATACACACGTAGCCTTACACCTTACATTTGATATGTTTACATATCTCACATGTCAACTTATGGTTCACACAGAGATTGTACCACGGAAAGGTTCATTACTCAAGAACCAATCATAGTTGACATGTAGTTACCGGGGCCTAGACTGTCTTAGGCCCCGGCCCGACCTTCTCCAAGGTCAGGCCACCTGGCAATGAGGTGGCCTTACTGATCAATCGAATGGGCCACCCAATTCCTAGGTGGCCTTACCTTAAAAGTAAGGCCACCTAGGAATTAGGTGGGCCCTCCCGAGTGTGATCTCTCAGCTGATTGATTCTGGATGTATCCAGG